AAGAGATACGGGGCAGAGGAAAGCAGGGCATAGACAGACTTGAGTTTTTATTGGGGTTTTATTGCTTAGATATGGAGAGGTCAAGTTGGAAAGCTAGCCTTTGTGGAAAGAAGTGGGACCACTCCAATGCTTCCCCAGGAGGGAAGGATGGAGTAAAGATTTTGAAAAGTTTAGAAGTGTAGGGGAGGAAAATTGAAATTGTTCACTGGATCATTTTGTTACCACAAAAAATGCCTCGTCTCCTCTTGGTGTTCATGGGAGTGGGGTTCCTGGGGTGCTGCTGGAATAAGCATTTCCGGAGGGCCCTACAGAGGATGAGATATGATAGACAGCTTTATTTTTGTGGAATTACACCCCTGAATTTCCAAAGTCCCATTACCCTTAGTCCAGTCATGGAAGAAGCATAGCTGGGATTTCACTAGAGCTGAAATCAGAGCCAGTGTCCAGTTTCCTTTCCAAGTTGGAGCCGGGTCCAGTTCAGCATCAGGCTAGTTGCAGTCCATTAGTCTATTGCGTGTGAGGGTCCGCATGGCCGTGGGCCACACAGGAAAGCCAAGCATGAGCCCTGAGCCAAGTGTGCCAAGAGGAAGCAAGAGTGAACTTCTTCCTTCACTGCTATCCCAAATTTCAGTGTGCTTGCAATGGCCATGCCCATTCTGGCTAATCGTCTCTATCCCCAGGTGTGACAGGCAAGTACCTTCCCTATGTCATCCCAACTTTACTGGACATACATCTGTTTTCCCTTCGTTGGATCCCTCCCCTGGTGTTTTGCAGGGGACGTGCCTATATGTCTGCCCTTCTCTTCGCTCCTTTCTTATTACTAATAACTAGCTAATTACAACAGTATCAATTTCATCAGACTGCTGTTCTCAGTGTCCTAGAAGGGAATAAGGACTGAGAACTTGAGATGAATGGTGAAGGTTCAAAGCAAAAGGCAAAAGATTAGATAAGACTAAATATTTGCAAAATAGCAGAAGGATGTTAGCAATTAAGATAAAATTTGATGTTCATTTGCAGTGATTAACCAGGAGATTCAGGTTGAGAAAGGAGACAAACTGAAAGCACTCAAATACAGAAAAAAAATGGAGTTCTAGAGACTAGAGATGGAACTTGGGGACAGAAAGCGGTGGTTATGGAGGGAAATATTCATAGTTGTGAAAGATACAATTCCCAAGCCTGTAAAAAATAAAAAAAATACCTGCCATAGGATTTTAAAGGGTTTTTTGTTTGTTTTGTGTGTGTGTTTTAAATAAACAACTTTAGACTTTTTATGTCCTGAGTACTTTTGTTTTCACAGTGATTCACTAATGTCCCTTGAGGCAAGAAAAAAAATACCAGTCCTTAATTTTGACACCCAAACTAGCCACTGCACAGAGAGTGGACAAGCGGGACAGGAGTTTATTTCTACAGTTAGGGTTTGGCTGAAGCAGTGCTGTGCAACATGATTGCTGAGAGAAATGCCAACACTTACCTAAAGCATTTAGCCATGACAGAAATTGAGCAAGCTGCTATGTGGGCACATTCACCAGGGAAGAAGGTGACCAGCCCACCCATCCATCATCCTGCTAGTACCTGGAGGAGCAGCAGGGGCAGGGAGCATAGCATTTCTGTTGGCAGTAAGAACCAATAATTAGGGTCATACTTGCTTGAAAACATTCTTTTAGATGATTGGATAAAGATTTAAAGTTAGGTTAGAAGCCAAAATATTCCCTGCATTCCTATGGGTGGATATGGCAGCTCTGTCGGCACTGAGCCTTCTTGGTCACCTTGTGTTTGTTTTATGTTTTTATTCATTTCAGAGAGATGAAAGGAGAGGGAACAATAGAAACATCAGTGATGAGAGAGAATCAGCTGCCTCCTGCACACCCCCTATTGGGGATGGAGCCCTCAACCTGGGCATGTGCCCTGACTGGGAATCGAACTGTAACTTCCTGGTTCATGGGTCAATGCTCAACAATTGAGCCACACTGGCCAGGTGTTTTTTAATATTATATTCTTGGTCAACTCACTTTTCTGTTCTAATTTCCCCTGTCGAGACCTTGGCTAACAGCTTATTCCATAGGATACAAAAATTTGGATCCTAGGGGTCCATACAAACAGTTGTTGTTGCCATTTACGATGAATATATCTTAATAAATCCTCTAATTTTTGCAGATATAAAGAAGTGAATAAACGGAGACCCCGAAGCTTACTTGAGAAACTGCGATGGGTGACCCTAGGCTACCATTATAACTGGGACAGTAAGGTATTCAAATTTTCTTGCTAATTCCATTTTCCATTTTTATGCTTCTTGGGCACACATAGTGGGATTTCTTCCTAGCCAAGCTTACAATATCATATTATCTATTTCAGGAAGCATCTCTCTTATTTATTCCCTCCTAAAATCCCCTTGATACAGTATCTCAAGAGACATGGATAATTTACTAAGAGAAAATTTCTTTTTCATATGCTCTCACATTATGTTATTTTATCAAAGACTATCTGTGTTTTCTCTAAGTAGGTTTCAAGGATATCGATTTTTTTTATACTATACTCAAGAGCAGTTGTCAATTATGATCTTTATTTCCGTTGTTTATTATTGAGCATTTATTTTCTATGTAATATCTTCCTGGAATAAAAGTGGATCCCTATACTTCTGGTGTTCTCATCAATTCACAAAAGGACTTTCAGAATCTAAATACCACTGCCTGCTACATAAGGTCTGAGCAGGAGAGAGATGGGAAAGAATGTCCTAAAATTAACAAAATCTCATGGTTGTGTGTTTTTGCTTTGTTTTGTTTTGTTTGAGGTAGTTTTTTTCCTGACCTCTGTGCTTCACAGAATGCCTCCTTTATCAGTGGCAGCGCAGTGCCTCTTGTCTCAATGAGATATTTGCCACCAAGTAAAAAGACTAATTCTGAGAGTAAACTGAATAAAACAGAATGGAATAGACCACCTTGCTTCTAACCAGTTACTTTCTAAAAGCTCTATAGTTACAGTCAACCCAGCTTATTAATAAGTATATTAACTGATCAAAATAATGATGTGTTGCCAAAAAATGTTCATTATAAAACTCTTATGTTTTAGTAATGCCAAGTAATGGAAAACTAGATTAACTGTATTTGGGGAAATGGCCACATGATTTTCTTCAGGTTAGACAACCTGGGTTTGAATTATGCCTTCAACAAGGATAGTACCTACCTTGATGGTAGTTGTGATAATTAAATGATTAATGCCTGTGTAGTGATTACAACAGTGCCTGTCCTAAGCAGTTAAATGCATTAACAATAAATGTTAGCTGATTGTTTTTTATATTATTTTTATTGTTGACATTGTTATTCTCCAAGAACCTCAAAATGGGCCTCATTTACTAAGAAAAACATGGAGTGAAAATTATCAAAAACTGAATAATCAGAGAAGAAAGAATAGTGCATAGACAGCTTGGAGAGGGTTCACGCTCAAAAGAAGTAATTATTTCATTATAGCATAGGTGATGTAGTGCTAGAATAGCATGATTTATTCATCCATATTTTGAGGCATCCGGTAATCTAATAATGAGCCATTCAAAATATGGATGACTGAATCATGCCATGCTAATATTGCATGTAGGCGGGATGATTTTTAAGTGGTAATTAATCTTATAGGACAGTTTTTTACTTTCCTGAGATCATTGTTTATTTTTCTTATTTTCCCTACTTTTATTAAAGAAATACTCAGCAGATCATTATACACCTTTCCCTTCTGACCTGGCTTTCCTCTCAGAGCAAGTAGCTGCTGCCTGTGGATTTGAGGGTTTCCAAGCAGAAGCAGGTATCCTGAATTACTACCGATTAGATTCTACACTGGGAATTCACGTGGACAAATCTGAACTAGATCACTCCAAACCCCTGCTGTCATTCAGGTAAGTTAGTTCTGGGGATTTGGTATTATGTTTTATCATCTCATTCCATTTTTTAAAGCATTTTTGAACTAAAATAAAATAAAAACATTAAACTTAAAAAAAATGGCTGGACTCTATAATCTTTCACTTCTGGGTATTTTAACAATGCATCATAAGTAAAATTAGCCTAATACTTTAAGAATCATGGCCAGATTACAGTTAATATTTCTGTTTAAGATGCATGGAGTCTGCCTTTTGTAATGAGAGGTATCGTGTCAGTGGAATAGGCAGAGGGAAGGCCATACATCTGTTTTGGAATAGAGAAAAGCAAAAGCACAAAAGCCTGAACAGCTTACTCCTCTTGTCTCCCTAAGCATAACTTTACATTTGTGCAAAGTACTGCCCCTGATTCCAACTGAGAAAGTGCCTGAACAGAATTTTTTATTATTACCTTATCTTTAAAGTGAACAGGAGTGATAAATACAGTAAAGAACTTAAACACAATAGTCCCCTCTTATCCACAGGGGATACATCCTAAGTAAGACCCCCTCAGGGGATACCTGACACTACAGATAATACCAAACGGTACATATGCTTTTTTTCTCTATACATACATACCTATGATAAAGTTTAATTTATAAATTAGACACAGTAAGAGATTAACAATAACTAATAAAGTAGAATAATTATAACAATACGTTGTAGTAAAAATTACGTGAATGTGGTCACTAGTTTCATGGGAGCCTTGCTGAAGTCTTTGTATAGGCTCAGTGCTTTTGGGTGCAACGCACTGCTGTTGGTCAGAACACATTTTCTGTTCATGACTTCCACCCACAAATCTGATGTCTTTTTCATCTTAACTACACACTTACCAGGCACTGTGGCGGTAACTTTTGCAGTTTGAGGGCAATAACAGAACTAGCACAAAAGTCTTTTTCGTTCTTCACTAGTTCACGGATAGATTCATTCTGACTGCATATCTTAGCAACAGTTCTTTTTCTTTCCTTAAGTCAAGACTTTCACCTTTTCACTTAAAGGAACCACTATATGGCTTCTCTTAGTGTATCTGAATTGCCATCATCACTATTGTTCTTTGGAGCCATTAGTAAGTAAAATAAGGCAGAATGGCATGCAATTTAAAACTTATGAATTGTTTATTGAATAGTTTATTTCTGGAATTGTTTATTTCTATTTAATATTTTCGGACCACAGTCAGCCACAGGTAACAAACTGCAGGAAGTGAAACTGGATAAAGGGTGACTACTTTAATTTTATTGAAAGACTTGAATCTTACAGAATCATCAATAAAACTTATATGGGTAATATTAAAACTAAATTCTTCCGTCCCGGGCTGGTGTGGCTCAGTTGATTGGAGCATTGTCCTGTACACCAAAAGGTGGTGGGTTCAATTCCCAGTCAGAGCACATACGCAGATTATGGATTTGATCCCCGGTGGGGAGTGTACTGGAGGCAACTGATCAATGCTTTGTTGTTGTTTTTTCTCTCTATCTGCCTGCCTGTCTCACTCCGTCTCTCTTTCTCTAAAATCAGTTTTAAAAACAAAACAAAAAAAATAAATTCTTCCCAGACTGGTGGGGCTCAGTTCGTTGACAAGTCCTCCACTACACTAAAAGGTCTCAGTTTCAATTCCCGGCCCAGGCACATACGTAGGTTGCGGGGTTTTTCCCTAGTTGGGGGGCGTTTGATATTTCTCTCTCTCTCTCTCTTTCTCCCCCTCCCCGTCTCTCTAAAAATCAATGAATCTATCCTCAGGTAAGGATTTTTAAAAAAAGCTTATTTTGCTTATTTAACTGCTTCATATTTTATTTCACCATAATCCTGTGGGCTATAAGTCTAAGTAGCAGATCATGGATTGGCCACTTATAGACACAAGCCAAAAGGAAAGGATCATAGAACAGTTTAAAAAGGAAGATTTTACCCCCCAAAAAAGGGAAGATTTACAATTAATAAGTATCAAGTTGAAATTAGAAAATAATG